CATAACACACTCTACACAGACAAAGTGACCAAATTGACATTGACACCTATCGTGATGGAAACAAATTTGACGTTTGTAAAGAATATGTACATATATTATAACATCTGTCGTCAACGGACAGCAAAACAACTAGACGCAAGACCAAGACACACGTTAACTTAATCACAATGATAAATTGCATCCATTGAACATTTGAGATGAGTTTCATAACCACAAGGTACTCTGTCGACGGTATATATAACCATGAACGCAACTTATTCGACCCCACTCTCCACACATCTGACTTTGGATCGTTTTTGGTAAGACTTTATCTCTCTTGTGTCAATTTTCATTACCATCTTGGATTATTTCCAAGTTTTTTCTTGGTCAAGTTTCCTGCTTCACAGGGGCCAATTCCTTCATTTAACTTTTACTTTCCCTTCAATCTTTACATCTAAAATTCGAAACTTCAACCCTTTTGAGTGGCTGACGTACAAATTAGGTGATTGGTGATGTCATTCGAGATTCACTGCGGGCCTACTGCCTTTGTTTCAAGGTGTGAAGCAGTCGCTCGTGGTTAACTAGTTAACAATTGGGTGGATTAACAAGGGATTAAGTACAGTCTATTCTGAAATTTATTGTACCACAGCATATAACATTCACACATGATATATGAAACATGATACTGGCATTTACATCACCATATCACTTATTCACCAACAATGATAACATTCACACATGATACCTTTAAATAATGATACATGAAACATTATACTCCTTTTTACTTATACACCAACAATGCGTGATATTGCATCTGCATATTCAATCGGAGTGATTCTACCTTGCAGCAGATTGTACTACAAGACTCCGACTACCTTGAGAGTTAACAAATCGCAAATTAACTTGAACATTAGCCGTAATGATATGCCAGAAAATGACAGGGAGATGGTTTATATAGGAATTCAGTTGACACATGTCACTCTAACGGAGAACCTTTTTTGACGGGTAGTCCTTTACTTGGCAGGGTTACTGTCTTATAGTATCGAGTTACCACTAATAGATCCTTTCTGAAAATCCAATCATTGTTTTATGTATGCGCCCAGACAGCCTTATCCATTCCGTAAAATGGTCATATGGATCATGCGAGCGAACGAGACCTTGCCGTTTTATCGGACATCATTCGCTACTTTCACTGACTTTTAGAAATGGAATATGGTCTGCCAGGGTGTCACATATTAAAACACATATCGAGTGTGTTAGCGTTTCATGCCACGCGGTCCAATCATTTAAAATAAATAAGGGTAATGTAAAAACAGTCAAAGAAATAATAGCAAGAGATTGACTATCGTTATGTCACGAATTAACCTCCAGAGAAGAATGTGTAAAAGACACCTATTCATTGTGGTTTTCAGACGAAGCAAAAAAAAAGAAGGAATCTTTGGTGTCACACATCTACCTACCAACGTCTAAAAATTTATTGGTAAGTACAAAGAAATATGAAACGCACCTATTCGTATACACGGTAATGCTATTTTTGAGGGCATTATCATTTGCAGAAGCCCGCAGTCTTCCATTAACTGCCCGCCGAACTAAAATACATGGAATTTGTGTTGAAAAGAAAAAGGAAACAATGAAGGAATTTGACTGTAAGTTTACTCAAACCATATTCTGACGGGGTTGACTGCCCGAATGCAATTACGTCATCGAACAAATCAAGTGACGTCACAACAGAAAGTGACGATATTCGACCTTGGCCTTTGACAAGACCATAGCCTGCAACATGCCAAACCATGCCAGTGTTCGGTTTTGGTCCAACAACAACGTTAATAGTGCAATTGTTAAGGTTAGCACCAGCAAGAAAGCCAATATTACCGCTATTTAAAGCGGGAATTCGGGTTGCTTTGACTTGTTTGACCCAGAATATCTGCCAGTCCAAAGCCAATGTCGAATGAACCGACGCACCCACTATGACGTCACTTGACAACAGAACTGATAGTGGCCCGTCGTTAAGGTTGAGCGGTCCAATATCATTTGCAGCGGCCCGCAAATGTCTGATAATAGGAGGGCCGTTTCATGATAATTCCATGTGTTTTAGCTATAATGATGGTTTTAGACCGAGCAAAGATACCGTTATTACCGACGACTTAATCGGTGACGTGACTAAATCAAATTACCTAAATCACCATTTATTTCTGAGATAACACACAACCATGGATAAAATGTGAGTATTGGAATCATCATAATGAAGAGAAGATTGCTTACTATGTTTTAAGAATACAACATGTAATAATTTTGAATTAGCATTTGAAAAGTATTTTGGGTTTTTTCTACTTCCAGATCAACAATGTCTTCACTACAAAATATGCCAGATTGCATTCTCTTCCTATTTTTAAGCACTATATTAAACAACATCAAAACACTTTACTCAAATTTACTTATAAACCCAAAACTACAGACGTAACGAAATACAGTGTATTAATATGAGAGATATAATTTTTCAAGCGTTTTATAATGTATTTCAAAGATATTTTCCGAGTATATGTTATAAATGTATTCAAGAACAGGAAATTATATTTATTCACAGTGATATATTGATAGTCGATCTTAGATTGTATTATTTGGGTAAAAATAATGTTGGTAGAATTTTCAATATGAAAGGGATATACGGGCGGTAACATATTTCGAAGTAAGTAAGAACATGGTTATTCGATGAAGATTAAAAAAGAGTATATTTTAAGTTATGTATTACGCTTGACGTGAAATAATGTATTCCTCATATTAATACATATTCTTATTTCTAGTCACGATATGGCTTCAAATATTGTCGCCGTTTTACTATAAACTCACACACCACATATTCATTAGATATATACTACTCAAAAGAAGAAACACAAAGCATAAATTTTCCTCGGATTTTGGCCATAATGTCAGTGACACACGTTGTTTTTGTCGAACACGTAGTTGCGTGCATGAATAAAACCATCCCATGTTACTGAGGCTTTTCAAACACGTAGTTGCGGTGCGAAGTCATGGACATTTGGAGGCTCAGCAGAATAATGCGATTGGACATCAGCGGTGGCAAGCGCCTACACGTATCCTAGAGCACAATGGGAATATTGTGGCATTGTTTTCAACAGCACGGGAACCCCACGGTTTCTACTGAGACGTGCAGACGGGAGATCGCGCATGTATAGACGATGTCATGAACATTATTCTGTGTTCAGGAAGTCAACAGAATATGCGAGGTGATGTTATGGTGTGTGCTGGCCATTTCGTACAGTGGTAGGACAGATCTTGTTTACATTCAGGGGAATCTCACAGCTGGACGTTATTGTGATAAGATCAACAATGTCACACGTCATTCCGTTCATAAACAGACAAAACATCATTTTTCAACAGGATAATGCTCGACCACATAACGCAAGGTTTACGGTGTTCCTGGTACAGAACAACATTCAGGTTCTTCCGTGGACATTCCCAGGTCTGTCCATAGGTAGACGGTGTCAGGGTGTGATTGACTCTAATGGTGGTCATAATCGTTACTGATTTCGTCTGACTTCATTTACAGTGTGATTTACTGTTTACCATGTCTACACTGCATGCTGTAATCATTGCAGTAACTTTTGTTCCATCGACAAGTCATGTGATGCTCATATTTTCACATAAAACATTGACAACAATCTGTGATATGCGTTTCTTTTTCTTTTACGCCGTGTAGACCTATCACATGTTTTATGAAAAAAATCACCACTGATACAACACAATCTGGATTATTAATCACAATAATTAAGTTCTTCACGAATAAACAATCGATAATAAAATAATGACAAGCTATGCTTTACCATCACTGTTATATGGTACAACACCGACAACATCTTCCAACCTCTTTTGACATTACATAACTTTTTTTCATCACAAGGATTACATCACGTAAGAGTTGACAATGGACCAATCCTCATGCGTGAGTTTGCCGCATGTATCACAAAACCTGTGTTCATCTTCCCCTATGGGATGCTGGGCGTCATGATTCGGCTCGCCACAGACAGTGCAGAAGATATATCTGATGGAACCCGTTTCCTCTGCAATATCATGTCCTCTGCACATACCTGTTTCTTCATCGTCCTCCTTATCGTTGATAGCGGGTTCTGTTGACTTTTTGTCATCACCGATATAGCATTCTTTTGTCTGACCATTGATGATAGAGGAGCTTCCTTTATATAGGTTTTAGTGTTCGTGATTGAATTATTCAAACAATAACATTTCACACGTTTCTCGTTCCTTGGGGATTTTTTTAATAGTACTATAAAGTGTATTAGAATACAGTTTTAAACAAACAAACAAACGAAAAATAACATTGTACTTACCAGTCAAGTCTCAGGCGTTGCTACGAAAAATGCGTGATACGAAAGGTTCCTTCCGCTCGGTCTAAAACCACGACGATATACAGGTGCCTTTTATATATATTTTCTTCTCCACTGGATAATAAATGACATAACGCACGTCAATCTCTCGCCGTCGTTGGCAGCTACGCGATCACGGAAACAATGGAAATATCGAGGTTATACGACGTCACGTGACTCGATGCACCGCATAAAACCGGAAGCTACGTCAGAGCACCGCCGAAAGTGGTGTTAGCACCACCGGAAGCGGTGTTCTGTTTATTCTTTTATCTCTACTATTGCCAATCCGTTTCGGTATAATAGTAAATATATGGTACCGTGTTCTTCTAGCGTGGTGAAACCGGAAGTAATAGTAATTAAGAGAACAGCCCAACACTGGTAAAGAGTCACATTGAAGACATGGTGTGTGTAGTTTTTATACGGTAAGGCTTGAATGGAATATAGCTAAAGCTTGCTGTTTTCCATATATTAAGCCACTGCCAACTGCCATGCTAATTTGAATATCTGACGCATGTGTAGACGTGTGGCTCAGATGAGGAAAACACCCGTCAACACGTGCACGCTAGCAGGACAACGAACACAAAATGGCATCATGTGGGAACACATTCATTGTTTTCCTACCAGCACCCAACGCGAGCCCTTGTCCAACCAGAACGATGCACATGTAGAAAATCTGTAAATAGCAATAAGGAGAAATGCATTCTGTAACTCTAAGAATAAAGATAAGGGTTTCAAGCCTTGAATATATATTATACATATTATTATGTATATTACATATACAAACTGTCAAACGTGTATACACTTATTTGTAGAATCATGTTAATATCATCAGAGGTTACGTTTATTGCGAATTGTGCCCTTACTAAACCTTCCACGCTTCATTACGGAGAAGTTCGACTCTTCCATTAGTCTGGCCTAATGAAAGCCCCAAGTAAAACAACTGGTAGATATTTGTCACGTTGTGGTAACCCAAGGGTACGGGTTTCGTTCTGTAAAAAATGGTCACAACGTGATCAGTACGAGATACAACACAGAGGTTGGTGGCGCTCCCATAGTCTGTAAATACTCAAGTCTGGACCAGTAAACAACATCATGAGCATTGATGTACTCGAATGGGTTTCGATGACATGGGTCAAGCAAGTCATCAAGCCTGACCACCCAATTCCGTTAGTCACCTCTTAGGACAAGCATGGGTTGCTGAAGACCAAAACTAGGGTCATCACGGGTACTTACAGTCTGTACACACGACGCTGACGTCGCGATCAGGCGGAGAGCTTTGGATTGGAAGCGACCCTCGAGATACTACAAGGGAGATATATGGTCTGTTCATACATTTTGTCTGAATAGAAAAGTAAACTGCATAACATAATTGACAATATCAACAAAAATTATCTATCCAAGCGATGAGCATGTGGCATAATTCACTACTGACATACACTCGTGAAGCAATCGCCTTCTTGTAGCTAACTAAACATAGCAGCGTGACTGAAGCTTTGCCCCAGGGGTTGCACACAGAAAGTCAAGATAAAAAAGTGCGATAAAGCACTATGTATTTTGAAATTCGGGGTAATAAAGTGAGATAAAGCATATCCCTTTTGAAAATCAGGGAAATAAGTGAGATAATGCATATCCCTTTTGAAATTCAGGGTAATAAAGTGAGATAAAACATATCCCATTTCACAAAATATATAATATGCTTTCCTACCTGAAATGGGCTTGAGATATTCAGATTCTTCAAAACGGTCAACAGGAGGAACATTTCCAGAAGCTGTCCCGTGGAGAAGGCTATGTCACTGAGAATCCACATGATGCCATGACTATACGCCTCTGCCGACACTCCCAACATGGTGATGGTCGACGTGAACGTTGCAATCAACGACAGTGCGACAGGGAAGAAAGTCATTGAGCGTCCAGCCAGCAGGTACTCGTCCAGTTTACCATGCCTGCCGACTATGGCGTGGTATATACCGATGCTCACCGAGACGGCCACCATAACACCAAACACTGCGTAGTCCCATTTCCCAAACGTGTGAGACTCCATCGACGCTGTGAATAATAACATGTATTTCAATGGTTCTGTAATATAACTGTCACATCGGGTTCGTCAGCGCGTTTTAGTAGAAACACATGGCGAAGTGATACCCATGACTGAGCTGCACTATTAACGAGCGTGCCTTTCGTGACATTCACTTGATGTCTGTTTAAAAGGTTCAAATATCGGGTCTATGGCTCAGGGCAATATTTATGTTAGACAGACAGGTGTGTTCACACAGACATGAACCGGTAGGTCCCTAATTTTAGTGCACACTTGTATGAGTTATCCGACGGATCATAGCTGCACAAATTTCATTATCTATACTTTCAAAAAAGATGATTACAATGTATTAATGATTCCCGGTGTAAATTACTGTTGTAAATGTGTAAACATGCCGACAAAATTATAAAATCACAAAGCTGCTTATCAAAAGGAGGTGGCCCAGGCAAAGTGATATTAACAAAACGTGAGCAAATCTCCACGGTGACGAAATTAAATTTCCTGATTAGTGGTACATCTCCGGAAATTACCTGCCACGCCTCAGACTAAACAGTAAATACAGCAGAGTGATATACAGCTAATGAAGTGATAATTAGATTTACAGGAAGCTAGAGATGTGCATGTATATACAACGAATCCATGAGGACAGGTCAAACAGACGTTATAAAAACAATGATGATACGTAGATGTGATATATAGAGTGTGATATAAAGCTATTTAAGTGACAATAGAGGCGGCTTTTGTGATAAAGTATAGCTGTCATAACGCCGACGGGCCGACGGAGCATGCACGCCAGATCATAGATTTGATCCGGTATCAGCAAAATATAACGGCGCGCAGAGCCCGACTATCAGGTGTGACTCGAATGCACATTAAACCTTGGCAGAACCGCATTTTCAAGGGCTTTCCGATACACTAACATTATAAATAATAACACTACAGGTATTGCTGTTATGGTTAGATTCCAAACGCTTGTACTTTTAGTTCTTCTGTCAAGCATGTTCATTCCTGTATTGCTCAACTATCTAATGTTGCACAACAACATATTACATATTCCCAGAATCCCCATGAATGATCTTGCAAATGCACTATATATGTAAATATTAACACCGCCGGTATAGCCGGCGTACAGATTCATCTAAATTCCGCCAATCTATATCACGTCCTATATATTTTGCAGTTCGCACATTAACACTTATATAGCTCCACCACTGAATGTGCAACATGTGCGTATTATACATTGTCTAAAACACGCCTTTAATAGGCTTTCAAACGCGCTATAGAAATGTATATTCTGAGGTGATGTGTAAGAATAGTAGCCGTTATATCATGACTGCGCGATGTTGGCGAAAATTGCTATATCACAGAAGAATTAAACTTCAGTAAAATTACACAAAACATCACGTCGGAGTTTCAATCTGGACTGGTTACCAGGGGCAGCACAATATTCAGGTTTGCATATTTGGAGAGAGCGTTTCCCCAGGTTTCCAAGAACGTATAACATGCATAGATATGGCAAAGCAGAAGGCTTGAAAAATGCCATGGCGCAGGCGACTTCCACCGGAGGCTGGGTGGAACAAATTTCTTCCTCCGGGGCCTACGTGGAAGAAGAACGCACAGCTTAAAATCACAGAAACCTTAATTGCTCGGCTATGAAGTTGCGTAAAAACAAACGGAAACATTCTCCGTGTAGCTACAGGACACAGCTATCCAACGACGCGCGGCATGCGCGTGTAAGGCGATTTATGCAGCCCCCAAGGGAGCCGTGCTGAAATAGGTGATACAATCTGGGAGGGTAATTACACATGATCCGCAAGTCAAGGAACCCATATTCTCAGATCATTCCATGGTGACTCTCACTTTAAACCTTGAGCGACACAGTACGAAACAACGTGAAGTACAAATCAGGAACATGAAAAGCATCGACCTTGGGCAATTTAAGAAAGACCTTCTAGAGTCCCTTCTTGTTTCTGATCCTCCTAATGATGCAGAGGAGCTGGTAGACCTGTTTAACGCCACGCTCACAGCTTCACTGGACAAACATGCCCCGGTAAAACTGAAGAAGGTGGTACGCAAGGGAGCTATTTGAGATACATATAACTATAAGTATAAATAGGTATGTAACAAAACATACTATAACTGCTATATTCTGCTGCACGGAGCAATGTCACCAAGTGTATCAAAAAGGCTAGGTCAAAGCATATACATACTAATAGTGAGATTGAGGTATACTCCAAAAACCCTAAACATCTGATTTCAACATTGTTTAAGCTCTTAGGGAAAACAAATAACGTGTCTTTCAAACCACTGACGAGGGCTTCAACACATACTTCATGGAGAAAATCGCCAAGTTACGTCACCTATGCGCTGTGTGAGGATATCTCATCAAATGGATTTACTGGTCAGAGGCTAGTGTCTTTTGATCCTGTCTGTGATGTTGATATTAAAATGATCAATATATCCTCCAAGATTACATGCTGTCACTTGGATCCTGTACCCACAAGTTCTTCGTGACAATTCTGGACACTCTTCTTCCCACAGTCACCAGCTATCGTCAACAAAAATTTGGAAACAGACAAATTTCCCTCCTGCTTCAAAATCGCTTCTTATAAAGAAGCCTTCACTAGATTCTGAACAGTATTCCAACTACCGACCGGTTTCAAGCTTATCTTTGCTGCAGAAAGTTGTGAAACACCAGTTAACTCGACACCTTATCAAATTTCAGTTAATGGATAAGCCTCAATCTGCGTACAGAAACAGCTTTGAATTGTGTGTTGGACAAGGTCATTAGTGCTGTCGACTATAATAACGCTGTCATGCTTGTTATGGTGGACATTTCGTCTGCCTTTGATACCATTGACCATGACAAGTTAATGGATCGACTGCATACTGAATTTGATATCTCTGGAACTGCTCTGAAAGGATTCCTCACAATGGCTCCAATCATCTCCCTCAGTGCTCAAATGCGGCGTACCCCAGGGTTCCGTGTTGGGACCAGTCCTCTTCACGATGTATACCAAATCCTTGGGTCACCTTATATCACAGTGCCGGGTCATTAGCCACTTCTATGCTTACAATTCGCAATTGTTTGACAAATTGGATCTGTCAGAGACTAACCAAGCCTGCACCATACACAACTGAGTTGTGCCTCAGTGACGTCAAGTCCTGGATGACAGCAAATATGGTGAAAATAAATGTGTCACTTTGATCATCTTCAGATTGGGGACTCTTTGATCCCTTTGTCCACTGCTGTGAACAATCTGGGATACTACTTGGATAGCAGTCTCTCCATGAAAATATAAATCAGCTGTGCAAAACTATTCACTATCCACTCCGTAACATACCCAGCATATCCAACTGACCCACCACTGCTCTGCTTATTCGCTCCCTCATTCTGTCAATATTGGACTTATTGCAACAGTCTTTTTGCACGTGCCTCTAAAACCCAGATAAAGCACCTTCAATCTCTCCAAAATAAAGCTGCCCGTCTTGTTACCCGTTCTAAACCCACCTGTGACGTAGATTTCGTTTTGGATTCCTGCACTGGTTACGGATCCATGAAAGAATTGATTTCAATGTACTCATTCTCACTTACCATTGTGTTAACTCAACGACTCCCTCATACCTTTCTGATCTTCTCACACCATTCACTCCTGCTCGTGTCCTCAGATCCAGTAACCAACACCTGCAGGATCCTCCACCTTTCAACCTTAAGACATTTGGTGCCCGCTCTTTTGCTTCAGTTACAATCACACTATGGACCCGTGAAGGTCCGGGTTAGAATTGATCTTCAGTAACCCATGCTTGTCGTAAGTGGCGACAAACGGGATCGGGTGGTCACACAAGAAAAAAATGGTGATTTCCAAAAAATTTCCAATTTGGAAATATCATATTTCCAAATATTTCCAAAATTGGAAATATCATATTTCCAAGGCTTGGAAATCTTTGGAAATTTAGGAAGGATTTTACTACCACTTCTTTCCATTTCTTCTCAATCCAAGGATCCCCATGAGTGTGTAGACTATTTCACGCATCTTTTGTTCTGTTCGAGTTCTTATTGTTGATATACATAATGCATCTTGCATGTGACATATTTATTCATGAGAACTGCAGGGATAGGCCGTATTTTGATATTATCCATTTGTGCTTTATATTAATGTAATTGCATCTGACGCGTGAAGAGATACATTTTTGAAAGTTGGGATCATGTTTAAAGTAAGTGTTTTCGATTCGCCGTCCTATGCGATCAACTGGGAACCAATTCTATATAATAGTATAACTTCACTCATCTGCATCCTTCTTCTTCTAAGTGTCAAAAACTGATTTTGACTGTCATATTTGCCCCCTACTATGGCTAGCATGTTCTAAAATACTGTTTTAAGTGTATGTTTTACTGTTAATCACAGAAGCGCAAATAATGTTTCCCTTGTCACTGTTTGTATAAACACAAATTGCATAGACCTACGTTACATCATGGATTAAATAAAAGTTTACCGGACTCACTCACTGACTGGGCAGGGTTTATTACATGTCATAAAAGTGAACCCTTGCCAGGGAATAATAGACATATCGTTGTACAATACATTCTCTTATTGGTACCATCTAATTAACACCTGTCACAAGGGATGGGCCGTTTGGGTTTATGGTCAGAGATGGTGTTATGCAATTGATGTATTCACGAAATATCATGAACTTGTTAATAGATAATTGCTTATGGTGTCCACACACGGGCGGAAAATTA